AATAAGCGCTTCCCTGGCAAGCGCAAGGGCCTGAGTTCAATCCCCGGTTCCGCAAAAAAAAAAAAAAGAAAGAAAGAAAGAAAGAAAGAAAGAAAGAAAGAAAGAAAGAAAGAAAGAAATACTATAGAGAGCATGGAGCGCACTGGGCCTTCGAGGGGCACCAGGAGGGCCCAGGCTGACTCTCTCCTCCTGTTCCCTGTAGCTCTGCCCTACCCACAGACTCTACAGAAGCTGAAGGTGCCCATCATCGACTCAGAGGTCTGCAGCCACCTGTACTGGCGTGGAGCAGGGCAGGACGCCATCACAGAAGACATGCTGTGCGCTGGCTACCTGGAGGGGCAGCGGGATGCCTGTGTGGTGAGCATCCACCCCTTCCCATCCTGCCCTAAGGACAGCCTGCCCCATGTTTTTGTATACACATCCATTGTCCGCTACACAGCCATGCCACTCGCTGGAAGAGCTGGCATTCTGAAGGGGTCCCCAGAGCCAGCTGCCGCTGGGCATGGCATGATGGGGTAGTGATAATTGCCCGTGGCCAAAGTGAGGCCACGCTGTTGCCCCCTGGTGCGAGTTGTTTCTTCCCCGTGAACCTCAATTTTCTCCCCAGTGAACAGAAATAAGGACACTCCTCTCCACGGGCCTGTGGGGGAGGGCTGCTCAGAGTGCTTCTCCCCCTCGGGGCAGGAGGGAGCCTCTGCCCACTGCCTGACCCATCCTGGTCTCTAACTGCCTCTTCCCTCCGCAGGGCGACTCCGGGGGTCCCCTGATGTGCCAGGTCAATGATGCCTGGCTGCTGGGCGGCATCATCAGCTGGGGCGAGGGCTGTGCAGAGCGTAACCGGCCAGGCGTCTACACCAGCCTCCTGGTCCATCGCTCCTGGGTACAGAAGGTCGTGCAAGGGGTGCAGCTCCGTGGGCGCAGGGTGCGCACCCCATGCTCCCTGGCGGCCAGGCGCTCCTAGAAGCTCGGAACTTGCAGTTCACCCGCGGCTTCCTCTGTTGTAAATACTCGGATTACCTCTTGGAGGCGCCCGAGGTCCGCGCGGGATCTGGGAAGCCACGCCCACCCCACGCTCCGCCCCGGGCAGCGGGTGCCTGGTGTAAATACAATATATGTTCCTGATTTTTACAGTTATTTTTAACTATGCCTATATATTTATTCCTTCACTTTCAATAAATTATTTATTGTTCCGTTTGCTTTTTCTCTGTGTATGGTGACGTTGGAAAGTAAAGGTGCAGTTTGGGTTAAAAATCTGGGGAAGCAGGCATGAGGTGAGGTTGAGCCTTGCCTGGGCCCTTGGGGCTCAGCTGACCCCTGGTTTCCACCTAGGACTCAACTTCCTGCCTCAGAGCCTGGGCTCGCCCTCCCTCCCTAGGCGCCCTCTTACTGAAGTGAGGCAGCCGGCAGAGATTAGGCAGGAAGTGAGATGGGGAGGGTTTAGAAGCCCATCCCTCAGCAGAGCAAGGCGCTCCTCCTCCCTACCGAACCCCGGGAGCCTTAGGCTGCAGGGACTGAAGCAGGGTGTTCAGGTCAGCCAGGGCCACCATCAGAGCCTCATCTCCCAGATGGGGCCCGCTTCTACCTGCCAGGAGCTGATTCAAGAGGTGACTCACCACTAATTCTATAAATTGCTCCTTGCCAAGGAAGCAGCACAGCAGGAAGAGAGCAGGCTCTCTGGGCCCACGGCCCAGCCTCCTCCCCTGTCCCCACACAGCTGGGTAAGAATGGCCCAGGCTGAGAGCGTCTGTATGGCTTCTTGCTAGCTCAGGACCAGGCTAGCTCCATTTCCTCTCAGCAGGCCTCTTGCCTCTGGCTCTGGTTCTGCTTGGCTGCCTGGGCATTGGAGGGTCGAGCGTGCTCTAGTTGGCTGGGGCAGTATGTGAGTGGGACAAGCTGATAGAGCCACCCAAAACAGTCCAGTAGATAGCAGGAGAAAGGAGAGATGGCCTTGCCCAGCTGTAAAATGTCTCCAACTAGCAATGGTGGAGGACAGCTAGGTCCTTTCAGAGGCAGTGCAGCTTGCACGTGTGTGTGTGTCGTTTGCTGGCAGTACAGTTTTAAGATGCACAATCATGGGCCGGCGAGATAGCTCAGTAGACTAAGCACCTGCTTAGGCAAGCATAGGGACCAGGGTTTGATCTGGGTGCACTGAGCTGGCCACTGAGACCAGGCCTGGTGCCACGTGCCAGTAATCCCAGTGCTGGAGAGGCTGAAAGCAGGAGGTTCACTATGAGTCCAAGCTGCATGGTGAGACCCTGCAGCAAATACATGAAAAAGTAAATAAAATATACAATCACACTTGGCACTGTGAGGCCAAGGACCAGGGCCCTCTTGGGCCCTAACTCAGGACCTATTATCCTTTCAAATTATAGTATATTGCCCTCTGTAGTGGCACTCTGGAGGCTAAGGCAGGAGGATTGCTATGAGTTCAGGGCCAGCCTGCGCTACATAATTGAAAGTTTAACTCAGAAAGCAAAAGGGAACAAAAAGAAGAAAGAAAATAAGCTGGATGAGAGGATAAAACTGTTGGGGATCACATACATACAAATGGACAGAGGACAGACATCTCCAGGCTCTTAGTTATTATTCTTTTTCTTTCTTTCTTTTTTTTTTTTTTTTTTGTGGTACCGGGGATCAAAGTTGGGACCTTAGCTTTCCAGGTAGGAAATCATACAGCTGAGCTATCTCCCAGGCTCTAACCTGTTGTTCTTTAAAAGCATCATATGCATTTTCTTCTAAAGGACTCAACCATATTAGGTGACCACCACCTAACAATTCAGCAATTGCTGAATTCAGTAATTCAGCAATTTATACTTGGGCAGAAACCTATCAGTAAATTAGGTTACTGGGTTACCTGCCCCTAAGAGACAGGACAGCCTGGTCACCTCTGAGGGTGGCGTGAGTCAGTTGCATCGAAACTGAGACTACACCTTTAAGGCATTGGATGCTGGGCACTGGGTGTCGGGTTGATGTTAATGTATCTTTAATGTATTTTTGTGTGTGAATGAGGCTGACAATGAGAAAGTTGTGGCCTGACCCAAATGACCAAAGCAAACGTGAGTCTCCGTCTTTTTTTTTTTTGTTGTTGTTGTTGGAATCGGGAATTGAACTCAGTCACTTGTGCTTGCCAGGGAAGTGCTTGCCAGGGAAGCACTTATTCCACTGAGCCATCTCCCCCGCCCCGCAAACGTGAGTCTCTATCCAAGGTTCTGTGACGACCTCGGACAGCTCATGGTGGCAACAATCTTCCTCAAGAGCCTGATCTGGGGCCCTCAGCGCTGAGGCACCTGAGGTATCTTCTCAAGGACAGTGACCAGAGACGGGCAAAGTGCACGTGCAGCCCTTCCCTATCAGCCCTTCCCACCTCCTTTTTCCTATCTTGCGTGTGGAGGTGGTCCACTAGGGGGAGGAGATGAGTGGGAAGCAGAGTAAACCAACTCCCTTAGAGTATGTGTTAAAGACTTTTTAACCTTTTTTTTTTTTTTTTTTGCAACAGGGTAGTAGTGGTGAGTGTACCAGGAATGGAACTCAGAGCCTTGCACTTGTCAGGCAGGAGCTGTGCCACTGAGCTACATCCCCAGCCTATTAAATAATTTTTTTTTTTCTCCGAATGCCTTCAGGACAGGTTTGCCTGGCTTGAGTTGTGGGGATCCAACCACAGCAAGCTGAACCTGACTGCTTTGTTGAAGCAGCCACTTAAAGAACTGAGCTAAGGGGCAGTTTAAATAATTTTTTTAAAGGGATAGTTGAGAGGCTATGGTGCTAAGCTAACTCCTGAAAAGCTTTGGACAGTCTGTTGAGTTGACTGGCCATCATTTGGGATGTGCTGGCTCTCCAAGGGCTCAGTTGATAATGAGATAGTTAGCTGAGTGTTCAGGGTCCCTGTGGAGGATCTGTTCCACCCCCCGGCCAATTTCCTTACACTGAATGCGGGCAGGACTTGGTTCTGTCCCAGCCACCTTGGCTGAAAGTCTGCTCTGAGAACTGCAGGGCGCTGATGACTGGGGTGACAGCCACCTTCAAGTGTTTCAGAGATCAAACTGATTCTGTCTGGAGAGCCAGAAGTCCCACCTTCATATGCCCCACTGCATCCACCACTGCTGCCCCTGCTGCTGGGGCCCTACCAGAGCCAGTCAGCCTCTCTCTTCCTCAGTGCCACTCTCTAATGGTGGCCTCCCCCTAGCTGCCTTTTTGACTCCTCACACATGTGTGGGTGTCCATCCAAGGACCCCTCTGGCAGCCTGGCCCTCTAGCATTGTTGAAGAGATACTATTTCCTTGCAGATACTATTTCCGGAGACACGGGGACCTCTTTATTATAACCACTAGGGACAAACCTAGGGAGGTGAGCAAGTGTTAGTGTGATAAAGATAAAGATAACGAAAACAAAGACAAAGAGACATGTTGGCAGCTGCCCTGATGGAAGGATCAATTGACTTGATCCACTGATTGATTGATTGAGACATTCCCTTAAAGACATATCCAGGGCAAAGGGTGAAGCTAATGAAGAAGCCAACGAGGAGGCCATGGGGAAGCCAGTAGAAGGGGCCACGCTGCCTGGAGACGAGCTAGATTAGAACCAATACGCCATCGCTTCTTGGCCTTTTGGCTAAGATCAAGTATAGAACCAATGTGCCCCCTGTCACAGGTATGAACACTAAAAGAATGAATGCCTCTACTGGCTAGAGAAATCTCCTCCTCCCAAACAAGAAGACAGAGGTTAAATAGTCCAGGGCCCATATCAGCCAGCTGAGAGGCCATGTGGGGTGCCAGAGGATGATTTTAGAATGACCACCACAGGAAAATATGTGGCAGACTAGAGCAGATGGAGCTCTATTTTGATAGGCCCCCAAGAACCTACAGTCTGGGCCAACTAGATAGCTCAGTGAACTAAAGCACCTGCTTAGGCGGGCAGGGACCAGGGTTTGATCCCCAGTGTGGCATGCTGGCCCTGCCCCCCAGGGTGTGCTAAGACTGTGATTGAAACTGTACGTGGTGGCGTGCACCTGTAATCCCAGTGCTTGGGAGGCTGAAATCAGGAGGATCACTATAAGTCTAAGCTGTGTAGTGAGACCCTGTAGACCCTGTAGACCCTTACTAAATACACAAAAAGAAGAGCCTGCAGTCTGAATAAATGTGGGGGGCTGGCCCACTGACTTCTTGGTGGACTCTACAGTGGAACATTCTGTGGTGGCCCACCCCACAGGCCCCCTTTTGCAGAGACAGGCCACTATCGTGGGGGCCATGGGCAAATGAACACACTGTCCTTTCCTGCTGCCCTGAAGATGCATTTTAGGCAGCCATGAACTCATTCGTGAATTCCTCAACCTCCCTGAATGTACTGTGGCTTTAACGGGTTGAGACCTATTAGGAAAGCTACACATGCAGATAATTTAACTCCCACAGACAGACTGCCCTGACTCTGCATAAATCACAAGTGAAAGTCATGACACTTAGGATTCCCCAAGGAGAAGAATGGTGCCTCTCCAGTCTCATGCCGAGGCCACAGTAGGGACCTGAGCTTCCGTTTAGAGTACCTGGGCTATAGGCTAAAGACAGTGCATGCACATTAGCCTAAAACATACCTCCAGTAGTTGTAGAACTAAAGCCAGATTTTACCCCTTGCAAAGCACAGATTGGATGGGATCCTTAAAAAAAGAATTCCTGCTAATTAATTAATTAATTAATTAAGGATCCATGCCTTCCTGCCACTCCAGAAGCCGGGCACAGATGATTGTCAGCCAGTTCAGGATTTGTGAATGGTAAACCAGGCCACTGTCACCCTAGCCCTGGCTTCCCAAGCCCCTATAGTCTCTTGGGTCTCCTCCTCACCGAAACTGCTGTTTTCACATATCTAGACCTCAAAGATGCCTTCTTCTGCATCCAACTGGCCCCACAGAGCCAGCTGATTTTTGCTGTCCAGTGGAAAAATCCAGAAAATGATGACAGGGGCCAATTTACTTGGACAAGGATGGCCCAAGGGCTCAGAAGTTCCCTGTCATCTTCAGAATGGCACTGATTACTCATCTGAGCACCTTTGCAGCAGACTGACATGGCTACATCCACCTCTTCCTCTTGCTCCTCCTCCTCCTCCTCTTCCTCCTCTTCCTCCTCCTCCTCCTTCTTCTTTTGTGGTACCCGGGATCAAACTCCAGACCTT